GTGGAGGGTGGGAGGAGGGAGAGGAGCAACTGGGAGTTGGCTACTGGGTTTAATTTATGGGCAATGAAATAATGCATGCAACAAACCCCCATGACATGAGTTCCCCCATGAAACAATCCCCAAACCTAAAATAAAAGTTAAAAAAATTAAACAATGGTGACAACAACAAATGTTCCACTATTACCTATTGCTTCTATGGATGCTTTCAAGAAGTCGATTTCACTGTCACTCTTTTGTAAGTAATCTATCTTGAAGTTTCATTAGGCTGTATCTGGGTGTACATTTCTTTCTTTGTAAAAAATCTTGCTTGGGTTCCTTGGGATTTCTGAATCTGAGGATTGGAGTCTCATTAATCCTGAATATTTCTCTTTATCCCTTTTTCTCTCTGGACAGTGCAGTAGATAAACTACTGGTCTGTCTTTTGGTTCTCTGAGAAGATTCTCTAAGTCTTTTGGTTCTCTAAGTAGATAAACTACTGGTCTGTCTTTTGGTTTTCTTCACTCATGCTAAACTCTCAAACCACTCACTGAGGTTTATATAAACTTTGGTACATTATGTTTTATTTCTAGAAGTTCTAGTTGAATTTTTTCTCGAATCTCCTTAAAAACCTTTAATTATTTTGTTCATTATTCATATTATATTTTCTATTATGAGTTGTGTTTACTCCCAAAATTCATATGCTGAAGTCCTAATTCCCACTACCTTAGAATATGACTGTATGTGGAGATAGGGTCTCCACATAAGAGGTTATTAAGGTTCAGTGAGGTTATTAGGGTGGGTTCTGGTCCAATATGACTGGCCTTGCTGTAAGAAAAGGAGATTAGGACACAAAACATACAGAGAAATGAGTGTATAAAGATGGTGAAGGCAGCCATCTACATGCCAAGGGGAGAGGTCTCAGAAGAAATCAACCCTGCTGACACCCTGAGCTGACTTCCAGTCTCCAGAACTGTGAGAAGTAAATCTCTGTTGTTTCAGCCACTCAGTCTGTTGTACTTTGTTATGACAGTCCTCACAAACTAACACAGACCTCTGTATTTTTTTTACCTTTAACATAATTTAAAATACTTGTTTTATATTCTTTGTCTGATAACCCAATTTGTGAAACCTTTTGGAGGCTAAATCGGCTGTTTGTTTTTTCAGCTGTATGATGCTTCTAGAGCATGGTATCTTTGTGAGTTTTGTGAGGATTTGCTTTTCTTGGTACCATGAGCCTAGAGTCACTTCCAAGTCAGCGGCATTCTGCACTAATTCTCAGCATGAGTTGTGGGGACTAACAAGGTAGGGGGAATTAAAGCCGGAAAATTGTGCCATGGCTTTGTGTTTCTGAATAATCAAGACAGATACTTTGTTCTCTTACCCAAGTACTAAGGCTGGAGAAAGACATTTTTCCCTGATGTCCAGGGTCAGAGCAGTGGTTGGGGTTAGTAGTAGTAGTTGGTGGGGAGGAGTAAGCTTCTATCTAATTTGTGGTCATACTAAAGATATAAGCCCCAGGGGTCCAGTTTTTTCTGTGATCTTCTATTAGGGTCTATATTTTGTGAAGTCCCTAGGATTTATCTCCTGTGGCCTGGCCACTGAAGTTTAATAAATGTCAGCAGGATAAAAATCAGATTTAGTGTTTCAAAGATTGTTCTAGAAGGAGAGGTAATTTTTAACCCAGAGCCTCTGTCAGCTCTCAGGAAGGGCCAGGCTGGTGTACCCTGGGAAAAGTTTAATGTTGCTTTTATTGATATCTTTATCTGTTACCTTCCTTATTAGCTAGACAAATCTTGCCTTTCAAAAGAGTGAGGTCCAGAAGGGAAGCATTTCTTCTTTCTGTGAAAGTCACTTCTTCCCCCAGAAATTTATGTAGAGGAAAGCCCTCCCCCATACCTAGGCTGTCCCACACCTGAGCTCCCACCCTCACACAAGCAAGGGGGCCTTCAGAGACCATTGATTCCCCCATCCTCTTCTCTCCAATCACTCTGTCTCCATTTCTCACATACTACTGTGAAAAAAATAAGCAGAAGCATCATCTGCCTTGAAAATATCCTGGTTATGCTCCTCTTTTTCAGAAAGTGTTTGAAATAGAGGCCAAATTAAGAAACACTCCATCAGCTAAAGCTCTGAGGAGACAAGGCCAGCGTCCCTGCCTCTACCGCATCCCTGCAGGAGAGCCTGCCAATGCTTGTTTCTGGTGGGTATTTTATTTCAAAAGCTTGAGCCAGCCTATGAAGTGAGTCTCTGGCTTGGAAGCATTTTGCAGTATCATAACATGAGGCAGGTGGCTAGAAAGTGCGTCCAAACTCACCTGGCACTGCCTTTGGCCTCCCTGAATGTAGAGTTGGCCTCAGTCCCCAAGCTGCTCTCTAGAAGCCTGCAGCATCCAGCACAGGGTGAAAGAGGCCATCACATTAATAAGTTAGAGGGCCCCAAGCAAAGATCTGACTGAGAGATGCTCAACTCCATCTGATTATTTTCCAGTTTTATGTAAAGCCTCCAGTGTGACTTATGATTAGGTTTCGATTTTCTTTCTTTGGAGTTAGTCTTGTCCAGGGGCATGAACAGAAACTGCATGACCCAAAGACAGAGGGCCCCTCTCAGTCGGGGTCTCTGCTGACCAAAGCAATTTTGCAGGTGGGAAAAAAAGGACTCCAGGCAGGGGCTTATTGACACACTTATTGACCTTCCATATCAGCTGTTGTTGCCAGCCTAACTTAGGTAAGAACAAAAGAACCTGAGCACATTTTCAGATTCAGAGTCAAGTCTGCAAAGAGCTGAGTGTCTGGGCATTCTCCTTAGACAAGGACAGAAGGGAGCCCCTTGTCTTTGTTTCCAGCCTGCCCAAGCCCATGTTTTCAACAGAGTAATTCTGGCTAATAAACTCTACCTGATTGATGGAAGAAGGTAAAAGGCATAAAGGCTGCATAGCGTTTAGAAGATGAAAGATCAGTTAAGGCTTAGGTAAACAGTTAAGCCAAGAGAATTCTTCCTCTGTTGAAGAAGATGGTCACTTGGAAACCAAGCTTCAGTTTCACATGAGCTCCATGAGTCTAAAACATTTTTCAAATACTCTTCAAAAAATTAACTACTGACACATCCGATAACAGATGGTGGGATAAAATTCTGTCACTTTCCCTTTCTGAAACACCCAGAAAATTATATCTATAGCTTCCCAAACCATCCTGAGGAATATCTGGATCTGACTGAGTGAAAATTAACAAGAGCAAGTAATACCCACAATCAGATGAGCACTTAACCCTCAGTAACTGTTGGTGAATGAATGAATGCAACATGTGCTCACCACATCTATAGCAGGATGTTAATATCTCTGAAAGTAGGATAAAGTATTCTGTGAAATCCATCCCAAACTGCTATGTTTGGAACAATTAGGTTTACATTCCCAGAGAAGACACAGGAGGGAAGAAAAAAAAACAACAAAACATTGATATCGTGGTATTCTTAAGTTTGTGATATGGTTTGGCTGTGTCCCCACCCAAATCTCATCTTGAATTGTAGTTCCCATAATTCCCACTTGTCATGGTAGGAACCCAATGGGAGGTAATTGAATAATGAGGGCAGTTACTGCCATGCTGTTCTCATGATAGCGAGTGAGTTTTCATGAGATTTAATGGTTTTATAACCATCAAGGACTTTTCCCCTTTGGCTTGGCACTTTTCCTTCCTACCATCATGTGAGGAAGGACATGTTTGCTTCCCCTTCTGCCATGATTGTAAGTTCCCTGAGGCCTCCCCAGTTCTGCAGAACTGTGAGTCAATTAAACCTCTTTCCTTTATAAACTACCCAGTCTTGTGTATGTCTTCATTAGCAGTATGAGAACAGATTAATAGTTTGTCATTTCAGAATATCAGGATTTGTGGATGTCATAAAAAGAAACACTTGGATAGCCCATCTGTGTATTAAAAGACAACCCCTCTACCAGTCCTGCACACCATAAAAGAGGGGAAAGTCAAAAAATGAAAGCAAGCAGGTCTTCAGGGTAAAGAGCACAGCACATTTGTGCAGAAAACCTAGACAATAGGCAGGGCACAGTGGCTCACACCTGTAATCCCAGCACTTTGGGAGGCTGAAGCAGGTGGATTGCCTGAGGTCAGTAGTTCGAGACCAGCCTGGCCAAGGATGCAGTGGTTCACACCTGTAATCTCAGCACTTTGGGAGACTGAGGCGGGTGGATTGCATGAGGTCAGGACTTCGAGACTAACCTGACCAACATAGTGAAACCTCATCTCTACTAAAAATACAAAAATTAGCTGGGCATGGTGGCAGGTGCCTGTAATCCAAGCTACTCCAGAGACTGAGGCAGGAGAATAACTTGAACTCGGATGGTAGAGGTTGTAGTGAGCTGGGATCGTGCCATTGCACTCCAGCCTGGGCAACAAGAGCGAAACTGTCTCAAAAAAAAGAAAAGAAAAGAAAACCTAGACAATAATAATTATGAATAAATTTGCCAGCTGTACTTCATAACCTAAGAACATGATTAAAGCAACGTTTTGAGGAAATTATTAGGCTTGAGCACTTAGCATTAATAAATACAAAGAAGCAAAATAACGTACTAGTTATTCAACTTAAAAAGTTTGAAAAAGAACACAAGATCATTATGAACAAAATGAAGAAATAAAAATGAGAATTGAACTGAATAAAGTTAAAAAATGGTATTTGGGAGAAAAATAAATGAATCCAAGTGCTGTTGCTTTTAAATAAAATAGATAAACCATTAATATCTTAAACAATAATGAGGGGCAACATCCAAATACATAAAATTAGAAAGGAGAGTGGGAAATAACACAAAGACAGAAACCATTTTTTAACTATGCAAATAAATTAGAAAACCTAAGGAATGAATATACATGAAGTGAAAAATTTGTCCAAATGCCAGACCCAGATAATTTCACAAATGAAATTTTAAATTTAAAAATTTTAAGAAAGAGATAATTCTAATACTTTAAAATTTTTTCTAAAGAAAATCAACATGTCCAATGTCCTTTATAAGCCAACATAACACTAATACCAAAACTGGACAGTGGACACACAGAACTCACAAAACAGTAGACCTAGTAAGCCTAGTGCCAAAATATTTTTAAAATATTGACACTGTAATTAGAATTTTTTTTTCCAGCTGACACACACTCTAACAGCTCCTTGACCAGAGAGGAAAGGTAACTCTATTATAAAAGAAGAATAATTTAAAGATTTCAATAACACCACAAGGCACCATGAGTTTTGATCATAGTCTTTGGATCAAGCTGAATGTGGGAACTACCAAGTAAAAGAAGTTATATCACAATCAAGAGGTGAACTATGGATAAACAGGTTTTCCAAGTCATAGACAACTGGAGCCAGAAATTGCTCACACATATTGTCTCTGCTTTCTCGGATCAAATGCAGATTTCTTTTTTTAAAAAGATTTTTGTTTTTCGTTTTTTTAGAGACAGGGCCTCACTCTGTCATCCAAGCTGGAGTGCAGTGGTGCAGTCATAGCTCACTACAACCTCAAACTCCTGGGCTCAGGTAATTTTCCTGCCTCAGCCTTCTGTGTAGCTGGAACTACAGGCACAGGCCACCACATCTGGCTAATTTTAAAATTTGCTGTAGAAACAGTGTCCTGCTGTGCTGCTCATGCTGGCCTTGAACTCCTGGCTTCAAGCAATCCAACCACCTGGATCCCAAAGTGCTGGGATTACAGGTGCAAGTCACAGCACCAGGCCCTAAAATGCAAGTTTATTTTTGTGACAGTGAATGTTCCATTTAAATAAGTTATTCCAAAAATGATGACATGAGCCTGTGAATGAGGTTCTACTTCCTGTCCAAAATACTCAGAGAGAAGACCAAACTGGTGAGATGAGAGAGACAGGTTGAGAGGTAAGAGGAGTGGGGGCAAAGGGGTTACATTCTTCAGAAGAATAAAAGTGGAGCCTACAAAGGGGAAGCAAAAGAGACAACAAAGAGAGGGGCTTTGGCATCCTTGGAGTGGAACAGATTAGTGACATCAGACTTAAAAAAGCCCGGTCATAACTGGTGGTGGCTGATGAGGCCTAGAACAGGAAGCGATTAGAGCTGAAGTCATTAAAAAGTCTCTGTGAAGCTTAGCTGGCTGTCCTCCACTTAATCCTCTTAGGCAAACAGAGCATTCTCACTAGGCCTTGGATGGAGGCTCGAGCTGATCTTAGCCTGAAATACCAGCTGACTTTGGGAATTAGACCCAGTATTCTCAAGGATTGGGAGTAAGCATGTGAGTTGGTTTGTGAGGTGTGGAAAGCCAATTTGCTGATGGTATAAGTCTTCCATTTAATCCCAGCCAAGCATAAAGTGATGTAGAAAAAGAAAGTCTTCAGGATTAGTGTTAAGTGTGGCTTTGAAAGAGCTAAGAACAACCGCTGGAACTGTGACCTATAACTCAGGCTCTGCCACGCTGATCAGGCGCCTGAGGGAACATGGGGAGAAGGAGTTCTAGCACATGACCTGTGTGATCTGAGATTGAAACTGACCTTTTGAGGGAACAGGGCCAGAAGCTAGAAGCACCCAGAGACTTGCCTATTTTTTCCAGAAGGATCCCTGTCTCAGCTAGATGAGCCCCGGAAGTCTGCGGTTAGATGTTCAAATTTCAGAGAATGGATTGAATGAAAGTCAGTCTGGGTCTGAGACTAGACTTTCAGTTGATAGAAATTGTTAAGATTTTCCTCTGAGTAATTTATTTCCTAACTGGCTGTGAAAAGAAGGAACAAAGGTCAGCGTTTAATTGGGTTGAGATCTCAAAGGCTCTGCAATCAGTTTATTTCTTTTATCAGTGTGGGCTCACTGGTGACTGAAGGGGGTTTATTATCCAAATTATATAAGATCTGTGATTTGGATTTGCCCCAGAGAGGGTAGTAAATAGTGCTACCTGCCAGAAATACCATGCCTTGTACAGAGTTTTGAATTTTTGAGTAGCTGCATTAAAAAAAATAAAATAAAAGGAAACTGAAGAAATTACTTTTAATAATATATTTTCCTTAACCAAACATAATTAATTTAAGAACATACTAATAAGATGTTTTACATTATTTTTCTATATTAACTCTTCAAAATTCAGCACATCTCAATTCAGGGTAGCCCTTTATGAAGGGTTTGAAAGCCATGTGGGGTCAGAGGATACCATATTAGACAGTGTCTAATAGTAGATGCAAAGGATTACATCACGTGGTCCCTGCTCTTTGAGAGCCTATAAACATGTACCTTTATTCTGTATTCAATGACGTGGAGTAGGGGGATGAAGAGACTTACGTGGTAAGACTCCATTTGACAGAGATGGAGCCTTTCTAGGGTTTGAGGTCAACTACTAGCGCTTGGCAAGTTGTACATGGCTCCCTCCCCTTCTCGGGTCTGGTTAATGAATAACTCTGTCACCCAACCCAGCCCATCAGAACAAATTCCTGACAGCTCAACCAAACAGAAATCACAAAACCAATTAGGCCAACCTAAATTCACATACTCTCCTTACAGTATTTGAGAGGTCTCTATTCTGCAAAGCGTTAGGGGGATGGTGTGGGGATAAGGAAGGACTGAAGCCAACACTCCAGATGGCCTCTATAGATTGGTTTAACTCAAGAGCTCATAAACACGTTATCAGGATCACGGCCAGTACTAGGACTGGTTCAGACACACAGCTCTTGCCACTCCTGAAAGGAGCTTTGGCTAACATCTCCACAGTTTAGGGGTATAACTTTTTGCAGTGCCTCAGTTCTTTAGGTGCAGCCAGCTTCCCCTGGGCTCTGAGCTGGGCTGCAGCCAGCACACCTAGGCCATTACTGACTCCAATGCCTACTCTGTGTGGTTGGCCAGCACTGCCCTCTCACCCTCCAGAACCTCTGAGCCCAGGTTCTAGTCTCTGGCTTGACACCATGGCTTCCCATATCTACTCCCAGATCCCTCCGGACTCTCTTTTCTCATTCCTTGACCTAGCATCTCACTTACCTCTGCATGCTTTCCTGACACATCAGTCTCTCAAGTGTGGGTAGAGTCATCTCTGCCACAAGGACCCTAGTAGCCCTCCCCAGCCAGGCTCGCTCATGCTTTCTCTGCCTTCCTTTCTTCTCTCCCTAGCAGTGAAGAGACATTTGGGTGCAGTGACATCTGGAGCTAATCCCATCCCCTAGGCCTTAGGAGGTCCCTGTTAAAAGGACCAAGTGTGAGTCTCACAGTCCTGGCCCCACACTAGGTCTTTCTTCTTGCCTCATCCTACTCTGTCTCAGGTTCCCTGCAGCTTCTTATGTTTCCTTAAGCTAGTTGACTCCTTCCACAACCATAATGTGCTAATTTCAGAACACTCAACTTCCATATATGCAGATTCTCAAAAATCAGTGCCTAAAAACTAGTGATGTCATCATTCATTCTTTCTTTCTTTCGAGAAATATTTATATTGCACAAATCCATGCAACACAATAAATTTCTTCCTATGGCAGATGGATAGCATGTGGTATCACTGTGTCATGACTTTCTCTGTAAGTTATACCCCCAACCCTGATAACAACACATTAACGGGGATAAATGCTCCCCAGAAGAGCTTTAGCCTATCCTGAGATCTGCAACACAAGGAGTTTTTAACTTGGAAAGTGTGTTTAACTTTTCCACTGCTGAGGGTGTAACTCTTTGATTCTTGAGGGCTGCCTAAGTACAGAATGTTTGGTCTCCTGGAGAGTACCCAGGCTAACAGTGAGAATTGGATAGCTCCAGCAGAGCATTGGTCATTTGGCCTAGGGAGTAGCCCTGTACTTCTCACTCTTTTCAACACTTGAAGGGAGAGGTGGCCAGTTCTCTCTGAGGGTTGCCCTATGGCAGTGTCAGCAGCCAGCTGGATAGCATGGGAACATGCCTGCTCCATGAAAGGATCATATATGCAAAGCAGTCCCCAAATGCCAAAAGAGCCAAGCAACCAAAGAACAAGGCAGACAACTCCAGTGTGTTGGTAAAGGATGTTTTACTGGGGGAACTTACAGATGGAAGCATGGTCTTTAGTGGCAGCAAGTCAGGGAGATGTCTGCACCTGTTACCCCCAGAACCAGGGCTTATATATCATAGGGAAAGAGTACATGTGCCCTGTGCAAGACAATGAAAGACTACCTTCCAGAAGAGACAAGAGTGCTGCATGCATCAAAGCCTATAATTTGTGTGACAACATCAAGGTTGTTATGTTCTTACACTAAGGACAGTAAATTAAGTAGTAATCAGGAGGCATTCACAAGACAAGGGCTAATCAGAAGTGAACATAGCAAATTAGCCTCCAAGTTGGCATCCCTTGTGTCTCCACTTCCTCTTGGTTGTAGTATGCTCAACCTTCTACTGATGATTTGGAGCAAGTGGTTTCCTTATGTTTGGTTCAGGTTGCTGACCTGTTAGTAAAATAAGATTGAAGGGCACATAAAAATGTCACTGGACAGATCTTATCAGCAGCCCTTTGAGTGCATGCAAAGGCTAATAGTAAAGTGGAAAGCAAAGCAGATGTGAAGCTGGCCTTCTACCCACCTAAGTTAGGTGTCAGCAGGATTAGAAGGGCCCTTCCAATTCTGTGCACCACATACGGTGTCTATGACAACGTAGGATGCATTTCATTGTTGGGTCCCATTGGAAGTAAGGGATTGAGAGAGACTGACTGATATGCGCACAGGTATGAACGGGATTGTTCAAACATTCCTGCACTTTCAGGGTGTGTCCTATTAGGATTTCCTGAGCATAAACACGAGGGGATGGTGAAAAGTCCCACTCTTATCTTCATTCCACGAAAATCCACTGGTTTGGGCTCTGGTTTTAGCTCAGTGTCCAACTAATGCAGCATTAACAAAAATGGAAACCCTGAGACTTTTCTATTGTTCTTAATCAGCTGAGCATGGATGCCAAAATGTCCCTGCTTCCCACTAGGGGGAGCTTGTCATGCAGCACCAGAAACAGGACCAGGAGGAGCTGGTATTGGAGAGGCTGAGCTGGAACGCGATTAGATTTTGTGCATGTGGATCTTCTAACAGGAAGCACACCTCTTTTCTGTATTTTGGCTTTGATATGATTTAGTGGCTAGACTTAATTTTTCTGCCATCAGAGTGGATGTTATAGCTCCTATTTTGTAATCTAAAAAGCTTAAACACTTTTTCTACAGCCCAGGGTTTTTTTTTCCTTTCTGTCTTTCTACTATCAAATTGTAAACATAACGATCCCTACTTTAAGGCACTAAGCCGGGCCCCACACAAAGTGTTATGAGTAGGTGGGCTTCTTCCCCATCGATGTTGACTGTCTCAGGATTCATTTCACAGACCCCACGGTCTATTGAGCCTGTCTACAAACTGTGCCCTTCTAATTCCGTATGACCAGGCTTGCATAGCTAATGCCAAATCTACTGTGTTCTTTTTATCACTTTCCCTGTATTAAATATAGTTAAGAGGAAATGGGGTCATCTTTGCTTTTTTAATATTTTTATTTCCTGATTGAAAAACAATTGAGTGAAATGTTTTGGTTCAAGGGCGGTGACATGGAAACGTTCTATTTCAGTGGTAGGAGGTGATGCAGAGCAGCAGAAAATGTGTCGCTCTGAAGTCAGAAGTGGTGTTTCAATCACTGCAATGCCCTTTACCCTTACTGACTAAAGGTTCTCAGTCTACTGTAGCCCACCAGACTTCCATTTCCATCAATTAAGTAGGGATAACAATACCCATTTCCTGTGTGTGTATGTGTGTGTGTGTGCGTGTGTGTGTGTGTGTAATGAGAATGGATAAAGACAGGCAGTTGAAAAGACACAGCACAGTGACTGACACATAGCAGGTGTCACTCTGTTCCTCTTTCCCTTTGGTCAGGAATCCTCTTTGCCATTTGATCACTTTTAAACAATCTCTCTCTCATGTTTTCTTACTTGTATTATTTAATAGCCTGTTTGCCTGATCAGTGTAAGATAAGGAAACCTTAGTAGAGAAAAATGGGGAGTAGACAAATGGCAAAGAGAAAGCTATCCTTTAGGAACAGAAAACACAACTTAATTACATTCAAAACAGATTAAAACAGCTTCCTGAACCAGGTGACCTACAGTTTGCTGCCTCTCCTATGCCCCACCTGTGTCTGTGTCTGTCCAGTACTCATCACAAGGTGCCAGGGCCACCCCCAACAGTGGTGCCTGCCTTCCTTCTTGATTTAGTGTCTTTTTGTAATTGATACATCATATTTTTACCTACTTATGATGTACATGTGATGTTTCATTACATCTTTAGAACGTGTTATGATCAAGTCAGAGTATCAGGGTATCCACCTTGAGTATTTCTTTCTATGTGTTGGGAACATTTCAAACCCTATCTTCTAGCTGTTTTTGAAACATGTACTGCATTCACTGTACTCTACCATCTAACATTATAACTTATTCTTTCTATCTAACTATGTGTTTGTATGCAACCAATCTCTCTTCATTCCTTCACCTTCACGTCCTTCTTAACCTCTAGTAACTACCTTCTACTCTCTACCTCCATAAGATCACCTTCTTTTAGCTCCCACATATGATTGAGCAAATGCAATAAAAATATGGAAAGCTTCACAGGTTTTCATGGCATCCTTGTGAAGGGCCATGCTAATTGTCTCTGTACCATTCCAAGCACCAATTATTAATGTACTAAATACTAATACTTGCTACCAAAGTAAGCACAGATTTAGGATCTTTGACATGATCCCAAAAAGACAGACATTGAAGTGCTTTGGTAGATGATATTCAATTGAGATTCTACTTCTGTAGAATTAAATTATAATTTTACTCAGTCTTTTGGAAGATCCCAGGATTTGATAAAGAATTTACAGGTGTGCACCTGTAATCTCAGCTACTCAGGAGGCTAAGGCAGAAGAATTGCTTGAACTTGGAAGGTGGAGGTTGCAGTGAGCTGAGATCGCACCATTGCACTCCAGCCTGAGCAACAAGAGTGAAATTCTGTCTCAAAAAAAAAAAAAAAGGTGAATATGTGTGTGTATATAAACCTAGCTGGTTCCTGCCAGACACTAATGTTGCATTGCCTAGCAAATAACAAAGAAAGAAAAAGGCCCTCAGATCTTTAAAAACTGGACTGGACACTGAACCATCACAGTCCATCAGACATATCTGATCCCTGGCACTCTCCCTCCAGCTCCCAAGCTCTCTTCCTTTGTCTGCCCTCCTTGCTTTTGATTCCAGGTTTCTAACAGATCCTAGCCCTTGCCTGTGTGCCATTCTGATTTTGCATCTTTCTTTACTTCCACTGATACCTGACTCAGTCTCTCTGTCCATCCGCTGCCTCAAGCAGTATTTCCTAAAGGATTTCTGCAACCAACTAAATCCTCCCATAGATAGCTTTTTTGGATAAACATAGAGATTGACCTTTCTGGTTCTAAAGCTTGAAACTACATTTGCTTTATCTGAGTTCCTTTCTCAGGAAATGACCTTCAACCTCTCCCAAAAAAGTATCAAAGAACTGAAACTCACCAGATCACCACATCCAATGAGATGCCTGACCCCTCATTCATCAGGTTGCTTCCTTGCTCCTTCCTAATTCCTGTTTTCTTACATGTTGTTTCATTTTTTCCCTGCTATGTAACTCCTTAGTTTTAGTTGGTCAGGGAGACAGATTTGAGACAGGGCTCTCATCTCCTTAGCTGCAGCACCTGATTAAAGCCTTCTTCCTTGGCAGTACTCGTCATCTCAGTCATTGGTTTTCTGTGCAGTGAGCCACAGAATCTAGACTGAATCCCTGGTGTTTTAGTAACATTTCCACAAAATATAGTTCTAAGGGCATTGTGTAAACAAATAATATATGTATGCAAATGAATAAAAATAAACCAGTTCATAGAGAACAGAGGTTCTGCCCCTTCTCTCAGTATCCAACCCTGCACCTTATATACAGAAGTTTCCCAATTAATACTGGCTACAAAATAGGTGGCCAAGTTTCAGAAATGGAGATTAAACTTAAAAATACATTTATTTGACTTTGGAATGTTAATTCGCCCTTAATATATGAGAAAGCATTGAGAATTTAAAAAAAAAATAGAATAAATCTTGACCTAAGCCTCATACCTTATGTAGATATTAACTCAAGATTATCTAAGATGGATCATGGATTTAAATGTAAAACTAGGACTATATATTGCATTTAAACAGATTTAAATGTAAAACTGTAAAAGTTTTAGAAGACATCATAAGAGAAAATCTTCCAGACCCAGGGTTAGGTTAGATGTGACACCGAAATGCAGTCCATAAAAACAAAATAAGTGAGAGTTCAACAAAATGAACAACTTTTGTGCTGTGGAAACTCAGTTAAGAAAATAAAAGACAACCTACCACCTGGGAGGATACATTTGTAAACCACACAATTGACAAAGGACTAGAATCTAGAATATATAAATAACCTTCAAAACTGAACAATTAAAACAACTCCCAAATCCAGTTATAAAATGGGCAAAAACATGAGAAGACATTTCACCAAAGAGGAGATACAGATGAAATATGAACATGCAAAGATATTTATAATCATTAGCTATTAGGAACATGCAAACTTAATATGCAAAATTACCATAAGATATTACTACAAACCTGTTAGAACAACTACAAAATAGTAACAATGCTGGAGAAGAAGCAGAGAAACTCAATTTCTCATATGTCCTTGGTGGGAATTTGAAATGGCGCACTGGCTGTTTCTTATTAAGCTAAATGTGCAACTACCATTCAACCAGGAAATTATATTATTGGACATTTATTCTGGAGAAATGAAAATGTCTGTCCATATAAAAACTTGTACCTGAATGTTCACATCTTATTATCACCCCAAACTGCTGATTTAAAGTCCAACTGTCCTTCACTGATGAATGGTTAAACTAACCGTGGTACAGTCACACCAGAGAATATTGCTCAGCAACATAAAGGAACAAACTATTGATGCATGCAACAACCTGGACCCATCTTGAAGGCCGTTGTGCTTAGTGGAAAAAACCCCATCTCGAAATTGTACTTACTTGTGTGAGTCCATATAGATAATATTCTTGAAATGACAAAATTGTAAAGACGGAGAGCAGATAAGAGTTTCCAGGGGACAGAGATGGAAAGAGGGGATAAATACAAAGGGGTGGTATAAAAAAGCCATTTTGTGGTGATGTGGTTACACAAATTTACACACAGCATAACAGTGCATCAAATTATACACATCCACACCATACACACAACTGAATGCATGTAAAATATGTTGAAAATGGAATAAGGGGCCGGACATGGTGGCTCACGCCTGTAATCCCAGCACTTTGGGAGGCCAAGGCAGGCGGATCACGAGGTCAAGAGATCGAGACCATCCTGGCCAACGTGGTGAAACCCTGTCTCTACTAAAAAAATACAAAAAATTAGCTGGGCGTGGTAGCACGCACCTGTATTCCCAGCTACTTGGGAGGCTGAAGCAGGAGAATTGCTTGAACTCAGGAGGCAGAGGTTGCAGTGAGCCAAGATCACACCACTGCACTCCAGCCTGGTGCATGGCAACAGAGCAAGACTCTGTCTCAATAAAAAAAAAAGAAAGAAAGAAGAAAGAAAGAAAGAAAGAAAGAAAGAAAGAAAGAAAGAAAGAAAGAAAGAAAGAAAGAAAGAAAGAAGGAAAGAAAAAAAATGGAGTAAGGCATGTAGTTAATGACTCTGTACCATATCAATTTCCTGGTTAACAATTGTACAGCAGCTATATAAAATGTCCCTCTGGGAGAAGTTGGACGAAGGATACACATGACTATTTGTACTATTTTGCAATTTCCTTTCAGTCTATAATTATTTCAAAATAGAAAGTTCAAAAAAAAAGAGGATATCCAAGAAAGGGTTTTAACTATGAAACCCTTTATTCCTGGAACATCAGGTAAGATTAGTGTTCTATAGAACATATGCTGGGAAATGCAAGTCAAAGAAACTGGTTTGAAACCAACAATCCTGTCCTCATTGTTCACCCCAGCCCCAGGCCCATCAGGCTTTACCTCCATCAGTGGCCAAGCTTGCCCCGTAATTCTGTCTCACTTTGCAGCTAAGAGGATACTCCACAGAGTTGCTTTTGTTCAACAGGGTTTTCCACAAAGGTTGTATCTTGGTTCATTCCTGTTTTTTGCTTTGGCTCTGGCTGCTCTGCCAAGTTTGTCCCAACATGTGTCAGTCTGTGCCAGGCACCATGCCTCATCCACAGAACCTAATGGGATATGACACAGGTGATAGGTCAGGATAGTGACAGCCAAGAATCTGGAAGAAGCAGAGGCATTGTTGTCATAATGTTTCCCAAAGCTATGGTAAGCAATGTGGCCATAAACAGAAGCTGTGAATGAACCTAGAGTAAATAAGTCATTCCCAGTGCAGCAGATTGCAGTGTGTACACAAGTGAGTCGATACCTTTATCTCTATTGACACACAGCCTAGAACAATGGTGCTCAAACTCCAGTGTTCCTAAGAATCATCTGAAAAATCCCTATTATTGCTATATTAGAATCCTGGAGGAAGAACCTGAGAATAGGCAGATTGGAACAATCTCAACAAGTAACACTGGTACAGGAAGAGTCTGGGACCACATTTTCTTCTACAATATCACTTTTTAATCATTTCAGCTGGGAGCCTTGTTACTTGTACTTCATATTATATAAAGTGTTTAAAAGTGATAACTCCTACCCATTCACACTTAGCACATATATTTACCAAATGATATTTTAAATTCCCTTACATATCACTCAGAAACAAACCAATGTAGGGGTGTGTGTGTGTGTGTGTTGAAAAATAAAGGGTAATGATAATTCCCAAATGTGGTTCTTCTTTTATCAAAGAACAAACTCATTAAAACTAATAGCATTTGTGATAAACCCAGGACTCTGGGAAATAGGAAGATTTTTGTTTTGTGTTATTTGTTTTGCTTAATCATGGTCAAGGAATTATTAAAGACAATTTGAACATTACCTTAATGAGTCCTGCAAAGTCATGCTTTTGACAGCTATTTTTTAATTGGCCAAAAAAGAAATCCTAACAAATCACTCTGGCCAACTTGGCAGCTTGTTTGCTATTGGACATTCTGGCTTATCTTTGGAGCCCCACTGGAGCCAGTCTAAAAGAACAACACAACTTTATGAAAACGGAGCAGAGACTCACTTAGTGATTAGAGGTAATATAACAGAGATGGCCCCAGTAATCCACCACTCTGGAAGTGACCAGGATGTTTTACTGTGAGTTTCTTTGACTGTACAATGGTAATCCATCCATATCGCCACTGTGTTTCCCAAAGCTATGGCAAGCAATGTGGCAGAATCTAATCAAAAGTGTCAAAGGATTTATGTGAAGTAATGCATATGTTAATCTGCTTGACTTTCCCATTCCACAATGTAGACATATTTTAAAACCTTATGTTTTCCATCAGTTTTTTAAATTAAATACACAATCTTTTAAGTATTAAAGAATTTCATAGCCCTTCCAAACACCCTTGATCTAGATCAGTGATCTCCAAAACAGAATGTCCAGCACTGATCCATTGGAGTGCTGGAGAAAATGCTAAAACTTCCATTTATATTTAGTTTTATAAAAAAATAAGAAGTTTAACTTAACTAATATTAATAGATGTATTAAATTGTGAGCCTCATTTAGTCTATATGTCCCAAACATCATCATGAGACCCATGTAGTGTTCCCAGGATCTTAAGAGTGGAGATACTTTCATCACGAATGTTAATAGGCTGGGCACAGTGGCTCACACCTGTGATTCTAGAACTTTAGGAGGCCTAGACCGGTGGATAGCTTGAGCCCAAGAGTTCAAGACCTAGGCAACATGGCAAATCACCACTTCTATAAAAACACAGAAATTAGCCAGGTGTGGTGGCACATGTCTATAGTCCCAACTACTTGGGAGGCTCAAGTGGGAGGATCACTTGAGCCTGGGAGGCAGAGGTTGCAGTGAGCTGAGATTGTGCCACTGTACTCCAGCCTGGGCGACAGAGCAAGACCCTGTCTCAAAAAAAAAAATGAATAATGATGGCAGCCCCTTACTTAGCCATGAGCTATCAGATTGCACTGGAGATGCTCCTGGTTAAATGCACTTATAGATTTTGTTATCTAGATTAAACTAATCCTCACAAAATGAACAAGTGGCTTAAAACGATTCCTTCAAAGGAGTTGCCTATGTCATCACTGCAGAAAACTCTGACCTAGAAAATGTCCAAATAATCTGAGAAGTCCACTGAAGATAATAATAATACAAGCACAAGAGAACATCAAGAAAAAGGAAGCCCTGACATTTATCCTACTTGCCAAGTGGGCCCTGTATCTGCCCACATCATGAGTTATTTTAAAAATCAGAGATGATCTATCAGATTTTAAAAGAAGATGGCCAATCTGTGAGAAGATGCTTTTTGAAGAGATGCATGCTATGAAAAGAATAATTTGAAAGTGAATATTTGGAAACATTTTCAAGTTTATGAGATTTTTTTACCTTAAAAATTCTGTTTCAAATGTAAAAACTCTCATATCAAAACTATCAAAAAGCTATTAAAAATTCTTCCAAAAAGAGTTTTAGTGAGCTTTTAACCTATTTGTTAAAAATACTAAAATGCAATACAGTAGTCCCCCCACCATCTGTGGTTTTAGTTACCCACAGGTATAGAAGAGTGAGACATTTTGAGAAAGAGAAAGAGGACCACATTCATATAGCTTTTAGTACACCATATTGTTATAAATGTTCTATTTTATTATTAGTTATTGTTGTTATTCTCTTACTGTGCATAACTGATAGATTTTTATCACAGATATGTACATACAGGAAAAAACAGTCTACATAGAGTTCAGTATTATCTGAAGTTTCAGGCGACCACTGGAGGTCTTAGAAAGTATCTCCCATGGATAAAGGGGAGGTACTGTGCCTTGTGATCAGTTAGGAAAAGGGACTTCTTGACATTAGAGAAAATAAAAATTACCAGCATAATTTAAACAAAAACCTTTACACAATCAATGGAGTGGAATGAAAATGAGCATCTAAAGGGGTTCTTGTTCCATCTGGCTCTGTGCATCTTTGTGAGAGAACGTTTTCAGCCCCAATAAGCAATTAAGTCAAGAAAGAAAGAAAGAGAGAGAAAGAGAGAAAGTAGAAAGAAAAGAGGGAAGGCAGGAAGGCAGGCAGAAAAATAGGCAGGCAGGCAAGAAGAAGGAAGGAAGGAAGGAAGGAAGGAAGGAAGGGAGGGAGGGAGGGAGGGAGGGAGGGAGGGAGGGAGGGAGGGAGGGAGGGAAGGAGAGTCTAAGAAAGGAAGTCTTTACAAATATTTTTAAGGGCTGAGAATAGGAATTCCAAACATAAGGAATCAGGAATAGAGAAAGATTCTATGAATTACATACAAATTTACATGTGTGCATGAGGACTGCATGATCAATAGAATAGAAATCAAGATAGTAAGAAATATTTCTAGTCATAATGCTTTGAAAATAAAATTGTACTTTTAGGTATAAAAGCTTCTATGATTTTGCAAAAACAATACACTGCAGTAAATGCTTTTACTTTGACTACTATGTTAGTTTTCTAGGGCTACCATTACAAGGAACCACAAGCTGGGTAGTTTACACAACAGAAATGTATTTTCTCACAGTTCAAGGACAGAAGCCCAAGATCAAGGTGTCAAGAGGGCCAGTTCCTTCTGAGAGTTGTGAGGGAAGAATCAGTTTCATGCGCCTCCCCTTATTCTGGTGGCTTTCTGGGAATCTTTGGTGTTTCTTGTAGATAGCATCTCCCTGTATCTTCACATGGTCTTCTCTCTGTCTCTATACCCAAATTCCCCTTTTTTATAAGCACACCAGTAATACTGGATTAGGGCCTACCCTATTTCAGTATCATCTATCAGTTACATTTACAATTACCTTTTTCAGATGAGATTACATTGTGAAGTACTAGGGGTTAGGATTTCAACATACAAAGTTTGGTGAAACACAATTCTACCCATCCCAACAATGACTGTAAAAATGAAAATCCACCTTCCTCATTTCTTTTAAAAGTTTGTCTTTGTCATTGCAGCACTGTTTACAATAGCAAAGACCTGGAATCAACCCAAATGCCCATCAATGATAGACCGGACAGGGAAATGTGGCACATATACACCATGGAATATTATGCAGCAATCAAAAACGATAAGTTCATGTCCTTTGTAGGGACATGGATGAACCTAGAGAACATCATTCTCAGCAAACTGACTCAAGAACAGAAAATGAAATACTGCATGTTCTCACTCATAGGCAGGTGTTGAACAATGAGAACACATGGACACAGGGAGGGGAGCACTACACACTGGGGTCTGTTGGGGGGAATAGGGGAGGGACAGCAGGGGGTGGGGAGATGGGGAGAGATAGCATGGGGAGAAATGCCAGATATAGGTGAAGGGGAGGAATGCAGCAAATCACACTGCCATGTGTGTACCTATGCAACTATCTTGCATGTTCTTCACATGTACCCCAAAACCTAAAATGCAATAAAAAAAATCCATTTGTAAGGAAAGGAAACCAAAATGTCATGAGTCTGTGATAAAGAAAATTGTGTAGAAATTCAACTCAGCATTGAAAATGTATTGGGTACATAAAACAGATAAAACAATGATTTTGTCTTTCAAAGAAAAAAAAAGTGTGTCTTTGATAAAGGGTGAGGACTTGCAAAGCTCGCAGTTCTGCATTGATGTCAAGAAATCACAATGCCCTTAATTATCTGATATACAATCTCTACCCTGCACCCCAAGATGGCCCTCCATGGATAGAAACCAACCAGCAATATTTCAAGACAGGAACCATAATTTGCATTCCTGTCCCAGTCCTTAGCGGTGCCATCTACTGCTGGTTTCTTTTTTCCATATGTTATATCCTTTGTTCTTCTAAAGCTACAGATAAAAGATTTCAGACCAGGCAAAATTTCAGGGTGTTCGTACCATCTGTGAAATACCTTCCCAAATGAACAGTGAGAGGAAGCACTTGAAAGGTCTTATTATACTAAGATTTTTATTCTGCACATACGAAAAGAGAGATTTAAAAAAAAATGTTTGCCCTTTACCTGCTATCCTTCTCCATGTGAATAAAGAAGTTGTCCTTGCCTCAGGGCAGGAGTTTTTGATTCAGAGTACAGTCACTAGAAATACAACACTTAGGCAGTTGTAAATCCTTAGTGTAGGTGATAAGCAAGAAGTATTCCAGTGCA